ATCCGTGGTTATTGTCATTGATAAAGCGACGGGTAAGAGTTAGAAAGTTATCGATGGCGGCACTTATCCATTATCATCTGTTCTAATACAGATATTGGATCGAGAATTCCCACTTCGCTCTGATTTCTTTCTTTCGATCTACTTCGTTAACTATTTAATCGTTCGACTACTTTCTGACGTCGAACAGTATTTCAGTTTCTTTCGATTTATTTTATAATATTTGTATATACGATTTATTAAAAGTTTATATTTTTTGTTTACATTTAAGTGTTGATTTATTTGTTTAGTTTATGATAAATTTATGTTCGAGTGCTGTTTTTTTTACTGTTATATTGGATTTTCTTTTATTGATCTTTGGTATTTAATTACAGTTTATATTCAAGTTTACGTGTTAATGCTATTTTTTATTTACGTTTAAGTGTTGATTTTTTTGTTTAGTTTATGATAAATTTATGTTCGAGTGCTGTTTTTTTTACTATTATATTGGGTTTTCTTTTATTGATCTTTGGTATCTAACTAAAGTTAAATTAATTTTTGTATATCAATGCAATGCAATAGCACACGAAATTTTAAAATATATGGATACTTTTTTAATTAGTTATGCTCGTTGGATGGATGATATTTATAACTCGAACATAAATGAATTTAATACTAGATCTATCGACAATTATGGTGTATTTATTTGTACCAAAGACATTAAAATTTTAGTACAATTTTTATTAAAAATTATACAGGCTTCATTTTTCCAAATAGTTATAATAATTCGATAAAAATACTTACAAGGTGTAGTAAACTGAACAGTAAAGTGAAACGATACTTGGAAGTTCAAACTTCGTAATAATAATCTTCGAAATGTTGCACTGTAACTGATGATAAGATATACATTGAGGAAGTTGATAAATGTGCTTGTTTACAAAATGTGATCACCTTTTCGCGTCTAGTAAGCATTCTTATAATCGAAACGACAACACGCGATAGAAGTTTAGATAGAATAGGAGCCTGGTAGGAGTTCAGTAAATTGTCCAACGAAGAAAATTTCAAATTTTAAAACAGAGTTCCAATCGAGTTCTAATAAACAGAGTTCCAAAAAACAGAGTTGCAATAAATATAGTTTCCAATACACATAGTTTTCAGTATACGTAGTTGCAATGAGCAGAATTTCAATGCAGAGAGTTTTGATAAACATAATTTCCAATAAACAGAGTTTTCAATAAGCATAATTTCCAATAAAGAGGGTTTCCAATAAATATAGTTGCAATAAAGAGAATTTTAATAAAGAGAGTTCCAATAAAAAGAGTTCCAAGAAAGAGACTTCCAATAGAGTTCTAATAAACAGAGTTTTCAATAAGCATAATTTCCAATAAAGAGGGTTTCCAATAAATATAGTTGCAATAAAGAGAATTTTAATAAAGAGAGTTCCAATAAAAAGAGTTCCAAGAAAGAGACTTCCAATAGAGAGAGTTCTAATAAACAGAGTTTTCGATAAGCATAATTTCCAATAAAGAGGGTTTCCAATAAAGAGAGTTCTAATAAAAAGAGTTCTAATAAAGGGAGTCCTAATAAAGAGAGTTTTAAGAAAGAGACTTCCAATAAAGAGAGTTCCAATAAACAGAGTTTTCAATAAAGGGGTTTTCCAATACAGATAGTTGCAATAAAGAGAGTTTCAATAAAGAGAATTCTAATAAAAAGAGTTCCAATAAATTAAAAATAGGAGTTTGATAGTAGTTCACTAAATCAATCACCAAAAAAAATATCAAGTATAAAATGTCAAAATAGATTCCCAATAAACAGTATTTCAATAAACAGAGTTCCAACACTCATTGCTTCCAATAAACTGAGTTTCATTACCCATAGTTTTCAATAAATATACTTCCAATAGACAGAGTCCCAATAAACATTCAATAAACCGAGTTTCGGTAAGCATAGTATCCAATAAACATAGTTTCCAATAAACGAAGCTACACTGTGGACTAAATGAACCCGTTCCTAGCTGGGACCGGGCGCCCAGGCTCCGAAAGTAGCCGCGCTGTGACGATTTCGTACTGAATGGGCGCGAAATACGAGCATGGCCGAAGTGTCTTGTTTCAACAGCCAAGGTCCCTGGGTGGGTCGAATAACGGTCAACCGCTTATTCCACTTGGCTGTTTTACTCGTTCCTACCGTTGGATTCATCACCCGGGACATTTGGAATTCTTCCGTGCTAGAAAATTCAAAATAGGTTCGACGCACCGTTATTTCGTTGACAGGATTCGATCGGAGCCTCGACTTTGTCCGGACTATCGAGTCGAACGTAAAATCACCGCCCACCATCTTATCGAGTGGACGGTTATGGTGGAAAATGGGACGACAGGCGCTTATTTTTCTCTCGATTCGCTGTTTTGCGTCCGTTATTACGAAACGTGCAAGTATCTTCGTTTTCAACGCGAGTTTCTAGGAGAAGACGTAATTACGCGTGTTCCCACGGACAAAAACGATTCCTATCCTTCGAATTACCATCGATCGATCATTGTCAATCGATGATTTGAATTTGCAAATTGCGTCGGTGCTCGCCAACGTACCAGCGAGCATTTCCAATTCGCTTGCTCGCTATTAATTTGCGGTGAAAGCGTAACAAGTACTCGCAAAAATGCCCGGTATCCGCGTATTCTTGCTGGAATACAACGAGTTACCAGATGGATACTTCGGTGGCATGTTAAACGATAGCCTTGAAAGTATAAATAACCATGTTTGATCTTGACTACTCGTTTCTTGGACGGTTGAGCATGATCCTTACACCCTCGATGCGTCCAGGACCTTTGTACGACATTTAAACCTTGAGATCTTGCCTCGTGTCAATCGAATATTTCAGGTTCATCAAAAAATAATAACAGCAACGGTTTGCCTGAATATTGGAAATTTTAGTAAATGACGTTGTTCAACATTTTTTGCAATCTCAAAGGGGATTTCATAATCCTTTCGCAAGCGCAGAGTTGCGTATTTTTTATTTACTTAATTTCGGTTGATTTGGTCACGAACGAATTTGACATTCTTATTCGTTGTTCTGAAATGGTAATTCGATGGTAAAATATTAGATGAATATGGCGGATAGATGAGATCATCCCCCAATTTTTTATTAATTTGCCATTTTTCGTAGATACTTGACAAACTAATGGTTCGATTGGATTGCAAAAGTTCACGATATATACTTTTTGGTGAGTATAAACTCAATGTCTTTGTTCCAGTTAAGAAACGATTTGTTATTATAGCGAATCCAATTTAAATAGAAACGTTTGCTAGTGACTGAATCCTCCAACGAATATATTGCAGCAACAATCGAAGATTCGACGGTTGTTGCTTGAATATCAATTCCGAGTAGGTATTTATCTGTGACCTAGATAGGAATAACAGTAATTACAGGCGGTGGCCAAAATTTAAAACGCCTGCTTACAGCAATGACATATTTACGAAAGTATTTGTGAACGTGTCGAATTTTATATGAGGTTTCGATCCGCGAACAGATTCTCCTTTCACTTTTCGTTTCTTACAACATTTTTGCGCAATTCCATCCTAACATCCATTATTGAAACGATTTTAAAGCACCTGGACGATGTTACAAAATCCAGATAATCTTTTAAGTTAGATTCAATCTTACTTTCAATCAGTATAAATTAAATAATTTACAATGTTTCATACGATGTTTATTGAAATTTACCTTCCAATTTATATCTGATTATTTGTATTTATCAATGGATATATTGTGTAATTTTTGGTCATGTGTTTTTTTGTTCATTGCACTGTAGAGAGTTAAATTACATAATTACATAGAAAATTGCTAATCGAGGATTAATAATACTGGGAAAAATTTTAATGGGAGATTTTAGGGGCCAAAATAAGACGAAAATCAAGAATATCAATTTGTTGATTAAGGCTTCGTTAAAAAGTTATTAAAAAATTAAATTAAAAAATTTCAAATCATTTGCGAAAAAAATTATTTTTGGTTGCAAGGGTCGATTACAATCATTTTTGGTCATTACACATACCCTCGAATTTCTACGCATTTTCGAGAAAAAAATTCCTTACCAAAAATCTAATCTGAGGCCCTGAAATGGTCTCCCTAAATTTCATGCAAATCTTTAAAATGTCATAACTTCTGAACGGATTGGACGATTTTAATGTTTAAAAAAGTAATCAACGCGTATTTTAGTCAAGAATATGTAGAAATTCTAACAATATTGAGAAAGTTGTTCCTTGACCCCGTAAAGTGAGAAAAACTCCATAAAAATGGTCCAATTTTCAAACAGCCATAACTCCTACAATAGTGAATGTAATGCATTGAAATTTAGTATGGAAGTACAGCTCATAGATACCTACAAAAAAGTATTGAACAACGTTTCCGTACAGCGTCAACCAAATGAATTAAAAATTAAAAACGAATTTTTAAGAAAAATTCCCTTAATTTTTCGGCGAAATTGAAAAGTTTCAAATCATTCTGGAAAAATTATTTTCGATTGCAGGGGTAAATTACAATCATTTTTGGTAAATAGACACACCCCAAAAATCCTACGTATTTTCGAGAAAAAAATTCGAGTAGGTGGGCTGAGTTGACAAAATTAAAAAATTTCAAATCGTTCTAGAAAAATTATTTTTGGTTGTGGGGGTCAATTTCAGTCATTTTTGGTCATTAGACATACCCCCGAATTCCTACGTACTTTTGAGAAAAAAATTCTTTATCGAAAATATACCGTGTGACCAAAAATGTTTCTATAACTTTTTAACGAAGCCTGAATCAACAAATTAGTATCCTTGATTTTCGTCGTATTTTGACCTCTAGAATCACTCATTAAAATTTTTCCCAGAACACCTTGTATATGTAGTATTTATAATCTGTTTTCTCGTATAAATTTCTAAATACTGATAAGAAAATATGTGTAATTAGAATAATGAGGTGAAGAATTCATGTAACCAAGGATTATTTGCAACGAGTATTTAATAAGGAGGATGTGTTGCATTTTTTGTTGCAGTTAACAATACCAAAGCGCCGAAGGTAGCATGCCAAATCACAAATGGATCGCAATGAACATCTTGCTTTTGCTCCTCATAGGCACATTAAAGTCTACCGTTGGTACGTATTCTATTCACAGTTTATTTAAAAATAATTGTACATAGACACATAATTTATATATTAAAATTCAATTTTCTATTTTCCACTTCCATTTATAAATTACCAAATTATAACATTTCCAACGGATTCTACTGTAAATTTACTTTGGTTCACACTGAACCCCCATACAGCACGATTTCATTCTAATAGCTCTAATAAATATACCCACTGTACCAAAACGAAATATGTAATTTCATTATTCATTTGGGATCTACTTTCGTCAGTTATAATAATAATAAAAATATTATTTCAACTGACTTTAAAACTCTCAAATACAGTAATTCTCTTTATAACGATTTCATGTCCCTCGTATAACACGTGTTTTCCCCCATATAACGCGGGGATTTCCCACGTTGTATTTCTGTACTGTTAAATTTATGTTGTTCTTATAAAATTAAATTAAATTATTTTATTAAATTTGTGTTCCTAGTTTTTGAATTGTAAGAACATTGATTATATGTACAGTAACATTGATTATACATATATCTGTGGCGCCCTCGTACAACGCGTTTTCCTATAACGCGGAATCAATCTACCGTGTTATAGAGGGGATTACTGTAATGTCATCGACATTGGAACAACTACAAAATAACAATCTTTCATCGAACATGTTGAAAATTTCTATTTGTTACGTTTTAATTTTAAAAAATGGCGAGGATGCCCCCAGACAGGGAAAACTGGTCAATGCAATAAAATTATTTGATGACTTGATTATTGATTATTTTTGTTTACTGTATATTTGGGTGTTGTGAACTATTATAGATTGGACGCCACCACTATTTATGTTTGTAACTAATCATTTATGTTGAAAACGGTGCGAAACACTTGCAACCGCGTAACCTCTTTTTCTAGAGAAAGTATTTGGGATTAGCATTCGGTTCGATGATTTCAACGTATGACTGTGTATTACGCGATTCTTCGCGACACGTTTATTGTAGAACATTTCGAGGGTAACGGGAACAATTATATAAGTATTTCGATACTTAGTGCAAGTATCTTGAAAATCACATCGATAGTATGGAATTTTTTTAATTCTTTCACAATTGATTAAAATAGTTTGTGAAACGTGTCAGTTTTTCTTTTATATTATAAATTGTTTGTATTTTCTTAGTTTTCGTGCGAATAAGTATAAATTGTTTCGAAACACGGTGCACGTAGTCTCACATTATAGTTCTGGCAGTAAAATCTTCTTTCTGTTCTACTTGCTGACTCGCTGGTATCACTTTTAAAGCTATTAATTAAGCGATCACTATCCATTTTCAGTGAAAATGCTACTTTTATAGAACTGTACTAGAATCGATGCCATACTGATCTAAAAAACGGACTCTTCCACTTTAGAAATTAATCACAACAGTCCGTGAAAGAGAAAATTAATTAAGAAAAAATAGATCGTCCTATATTTTTAGTAATCCTCACTGGTAAAATCGATCGCAATTTTTTGATCGAGTCGTTATAAAAAGAAACAAATATTTGTGAAAAATTAAACACTTTGTATCGGTTTGTCCGCGTTTCTTACAATTAAAGCACAGAAAATAAAAGTGAATTATGTACAAAATTCTTATTTACTCTTATTTACTAAGATAATATTGTTAAGTTACAGAACATCTTCGATTCATGTATATTATTATACTTTATTCGCGCTAAAAAATTCAGACACTCTATAATATTCCGATTGAACACTATCGATTTATAATTATTAAAAAAGTTAATTAAAATCAAGTATTGACATAAGTGTCTCTGAATTTCAATTTATAAAATTTGTAATAACATAGCAAATAAATTTTCGCACGTAAATAATTTCGTACATTTAAGCAAATGAGTTCTGACCAGAGTTTCTTTGAATTTCAATTCATAATAAGAAAGGACTAAATTTGTTGTGCTTGTAATAATAATTTAATCAAATAAACATTGACCTATATGCTTCTGAGTTTCAATTTTTAGATTTTTGCAATGAGTACAGATTTGTGTCTTATTGTTTTATGGTTGTAATACAAAAATCACATTTTTTTGGTTTCCTTTTGAACCCACTTTCTTAACTTATTTTAAGCTTGTAGATTCCTTCTCTGGTGTATGAATTTTTATTTTATTTTATTAAGAATATTTAATTAACAGATGCTTGTTTAATCGTATTAAATGTCATCGATGCTTTGGCCCATTTGCTTCATGCTACAGGGAAACCCCTTGGAGACAAATTAAAGAAAGAAGAGGGAATAACTGCGACCAACTGGATGCAACTCGCTGACGAATGGTTCGCTGCCAGAGCAAAGGCCGCGGAAGAAAATGTGGACATCGTTACCATTCTACCGCTAATAAACAAATTGAGAGACTTGCCACCGACCGCAGAAACCATCATCAATGGCACCAGCCCTGACCAACTTGCACGGGTATCGTAATTCATCCTAAACTACCCATCCATTCTCATCAACTCTCTGAATTAAATTAACATAAAATTAACACACACTCTACCAACATTGCATATTTTATTTTTAACATCTTAGGTTCGAGCATTATTTAAATTATTTTGTTCTATAATTCACACTCAATTTTGGAAAATTCCAATTTTTTGTAGCCCCAAATCGAGTCATTTAAGATTTCAAATATTTTTGATCTTCTGATTTAGTAATATTTAACATAAATTAATATGCAATTAAATAACATTGAATATTTTATTTTTAACATCTTAGGTTCGAACGTTATTTAAATTATTTTGTTCTATAATTCACACTCAATTTTGGAAAATTTCAATTTTTTGTAGTCCCAAATCGAGTCATTTAAATTATAGTCATCGGTGGACCTAAAGAAACAATTTCAAATATTTTTGATCTTCTGGTTAAGTAATATTTAACATAAATTAATATGCATTTAAATGACGTTTTATATTTCATTTTTAACATCTTTGGTTCGAACGTTATTTAAATTATTTCGTTCTATAATTCATACTCAATTTTGGAAAATTCCAATTTTTTGTAGTTATTGTCACAAATTGAGTCATTTAAATTATAATCACTGGTGGATCTAAAGAAACAATTTCAAATATTTTTTATCTTCTTCTGGTTAAGTAATATTTAACATAAATTAATATGCATTTAAATAACGTTTTTTATTTTATTTTTAACATCTTAGGTTCGAACGTTATTTAAATTATTTCGTTCTATAATTCATACTCAATTTTGGAAAATTCCAATTTTTTGTAGTTATTGTCACAAATTGAGTCATTTAAATTATAATCACTGGTGGATCTAAAGAAACAATTTCAAATATTTTTTATCTTCTTCTGGTTAAGTAATATTTAACATAAATTAATATGCATTTAAATAACGTTTTTTATTTTATTTTTAACATCTTAGGTTCGAACGTTATTTAAATTATTTCGTTCTATAATTCATACTCAATTTTGGAAAATTCCAATTTTTTGTAGTTATTGTCACAAATTGAGTCATTTAAATTATAATCACTGGTGGATCTAAAGAAACAATTTCAAATATTTTTTATCTTCTTCTGGTTAAGTAATATTTAACATAAATTAATATGCATTTAAATAACGTTTTTTATTTTATTTTTAACATCTTAGGTTCGAACGTTATTTAAATTATTTTGTTCTATAATTCACACTCAATTTTGGAAAATTTCAATTTTTTGTAGTCCCAAATCGAGTCATTTAAATTATAGTCATCGGTGGACCTAAAGAAACAATTTCAAATATTTTTGATCTTCTGGTTAAGTAATATTTAACATAAATTAATATGCAATTAAATAACATTGTATATTTTATTTTTAACATCTTAGGTTCGAACGTTATTTAAATTATTTTGTTCTATAATTCTTACTCAATTTTGGAAAATTCCAATTTTCTGTGGTTCTAAAACACTTGCATTATAATCACCGATGAATCTAATAAAACAATTTAAAATATTTTTGATCCTCTAGTTTGAGTAACTAACAGAAATTAAAAATGTTTTATTCGAAGAGAGGAAAGAGAAAATTTAAGCTCGTTGCAATTTGAATATTATAATATTTCCAAAGAAAATTGTATATAATGGATGTATATAATAGTATAGAAATGAATAATAAAATTTAAATATTCTAGCAAAGGAAATATTTGCACTCTGAATTGCTGTTCGCGAGTATTTTGTTAAGTAATTTCTAATGGTGCAACAACTGCAGCTTATCTTTTGGTTCTTCCGTATTTCTCTGGGTTTTTTTCATGTCTAACGGGACGATGTCGCCTACTCTCACTTTTAGTGCCAAAATACTTTCACCAACTTGATCGACGAGGATACCAATATAGTGTGTCCTTATCCGCGTTTATACGGATACGCACAATCCCAATGTCAGTGACTTTCCCCCGCGAAAGTTCCACGATGATCGATACAATTCTTTTATCCCGGCATAAATGTCATTCTGTAACCGTGATCTTACACAGAGATCCAGGATACGGATGTTATTTAACATTCGCTCCCTGAAATCAAATTCTTCTACAGAATTTCTAGGAACCTTGCTCCATTTTTCTTAAATTCTTCATTCGTTAAATACCTTATTGCTACAAGATATAATTAATTTTATATATTACACAGGTTGTGTTTATTTCGAATAAAATATATTAAATATTAAGAAATTTATAGTTCGTAAAAAGAAAATCTTGCGAAAAATTACTCTAAAATAATATTCTGCTTAGAACTCGATGGAAGCAATACAGAAATTATAATTATCTTGTATCTTGAGCGAATGTACAATAAGAAACAAAATGAAAATTATTACGCTATGTTACAGTTACCGATTAACAAAAACGATCATGTATTTACGAAGTTATAAATTTCATTCTTAAAAAGACCCATCGAGACTTTCAAAGCACACAGAATACGGATGTAAAAGTAATTAAGAACTTGTCTGCTATCGACGAAGAAAAAATCTGTTCCTGTTGCACACGATTCTTTATTTTTATTTCTTAAAAATTTTATTCGAACTAGAACTTGTATTTGCATTTCTCATTTCACCAAAACTCCATGTAACTCTATTTTTTGCAAAATTGAAATCATTTTTCAGCAGCCTTGTATGCTTGAGATCATTGCAATTAAATTAATTTATAAAAATATAAAATACATACGGAAGAACTTTAACTTATAGAAAGAAATACATGATAAAGGATTAAATGTTATGAAGAGTCTACGTATGTTACAGTATAATTATTCTCGAATGCTGTGGGACATGGAGTCCGTGCAGCCAAGCGGCCATCTTTCAGGCTTCGTGGACAAGGCTCTAAAATTGTTAGATTTGAGGCAAGTCATGATGGAAGTCGAAACTTCCGTGATGTCGAAGGTGTCTTGTTCGGCGTGTAAAGTTGGCGCGGGGCTTCTTCAAACGTACATAAAAACTGGCAAGAGCGACGAAGAGATTATGAACAGTATTTACCAATTTTGCGTATCCCTAAAAATCCAGAGCTCGCGAGTTTGCAAAGGAGTAACCTTGCTCTTTGGGGTAAGTTTCACTTTTAATCTTCTCGTTATTTCTTTCAACACTCTGCGTTTGAAATAAATCAACTTCAAGTGTATGCAAACTTTATGCAAAAATGCACTGTTTTTCTGGTCATTCGATTATACTTGATGGCGAACGTATCTCCTCATGAATGTAACATTTCACTTTTTGTTCGTCACGAGCATGACATAAATCAATTTTAAGCATTTGATAAATTTATTCTGAAGTAGAATCTACGACCCTTGTGATTGCTTCATTACAGTTGAGTTCGTTTCTATTTGTCTGAAGTATGCACACAAAATATATCAGTCTTAAGTAGGCACATATTTGTAAAGCCAATAAAACTACTCGAATGATTACGTTTCCTTATTAATGTAATATTTCATTTTTATTTGCTTCAAATTTACACACGAACTAAATCAATTTCAAATATTTGTAAAGTCAATGAAAGTAGAATCTACAATGTTTGTAACTGTTTGATTGCACTTAACACTAGGAAGACTGAAACTTAGTATATACCTATATTGCCCAAAAGCAGTCAAAATGACTGTATTGTGAAAGAATAACTAATGTGTAAAGAAATTTGTTTAAAATTAATTTTTAATATTAGATTTTAATATTATGAATTTAAAACTGTTATTTCAATACAGAGCCGAACTGGTCATATAAGAAAACTCAATTCAATAATAAGAGTCATTTAATTATTTACAATTTCCCAAGCAGTCAAAATTACTGCTTCTGGGCAATATAGGTATAACACATACATATATACAATATACCGGAAATGAAGGAGGGGGGAGGTAACTACAATTATTAATAAACGCATTTATATGTTGTACAAAAAGTCACAAAATTCTAAGAAATTGTGTCATTATATACGTAATTGTTTTTCTAATTGAAATTAAAAAGCAGTCAAAATGACTTCCTTGGGCTATCTAGTGTTAAATTCGTTTGTATCTGTCTCAAACATGCTCCCAAAGCAAATCAGTTTTAAGTAGGTTTTTGCAGAGTCAATAAATCCAGCATCTACAATGTTTGTACCGTTTGTTTGCTCTTGAATTTGTTTGTATCTGTCTCAAACATGCTCCCAAAATAAATCTGTTTTAAGTAGGTTTTTGCAGAGTCAATAAATCTAGCATCTACAATGTTTGTAACCGTTTGATTGCACTTGAATTTGTTTGTATCTGTCTCAAACATGCTCCCAAAATAAATCAGTTTTAAGTAGGTTTTTGCAGAGTCAATAAATATAGCATCTACAATGTTTGTAACCGTTTGATTGCACTTGAATTTGTTTGTATCTGTCTCAAACATGCTCCCAAAATAAATCAGTTTTAAGTAGGTTTTTGCAGAGTCAATAAATCTAGCATCTACAAAGTTTGTACCTGTTTGATTGCAGTTGAATTCGATTATATCTGACTCAAACATGCATCCAAAGTAGATCAGTTTCAAGTAGACATTTGCAAAATCAATGAACAAAGACATATTTCGTATTATCGAGGGACAAATTTTGTCGTTTTAACTGACTCTGACTGGTTTTCATTAAATTGTTATTAAATGCTACGTCCTGTTTCTGTCCAGGGGGAAGTGATTTACGTTCTGAAGCAAGTGGATATGGGTCCAGCTCAGATCTGTAGCTTTGTGATCGGCGACGCTTGCGAGGACGCGTACAATCCGTTGCACGAGTGGGAGGTGGCGTTCCCGCCTGTAAAAAAACCGCACATTAAGCCTCCTATACCGCCTCAAGAAGGTGCGCCGACCTTCAAAGTCCTTCATATCTCTGATACGCACTACGATCCTTATTACCAAGAGGGCACGAATGCGGAATGTAACGAACCATTATGCTGCAGATTGACCAACGGCGCACCCCTGACTCCAGCAGGGGGTGCTGGCCGATGGGGTGACTACAGAAAATGCGACACCCCGAAAAGAACGGTCGAACATATGCTCAAGCATATCGCCGACACGCATTCCGTGAGTAATATCGATTATATCAATTTCTAATTTCTTTCAAAGGAATCCTTCACATTCAGTTTCCATTTTCTAATCGATACTTTACGAAAAATTAAACTTTTTAATACGTATCAACCGAATTTACACGGTTATGCACCTACAACTTTGGAAAAATTTTCAAAATCTCATTTTTTTATTTTCTCACATGGAATCACTCGTTCCTCGGTTGTATCATTAATGGGACACCGTGTATACTATCACAGATAAGTACAGGAACTAGGCTAGACTTTCGATTAGTAAAATTAGTCAGATTGATGGCGCAATTTCTACCAATTTGAAACGCGTTCCGTGTGCATCCGTGAGAATGAACGGAATTATATTAAAATAACAGATAGCGGAAAATTTATGTCCAATTTAATTAGCAATGTCTGTCGAACAATTATATTTTTAGTTGTTTAAAAAGTTATTTGTATTTTATTTGTTATTCTTGTTTTATAGGATCTGCCTCTTTACTCGAATTTATCATCCAGCCATGATTTCGTAGTATTTTTGTTGATCAATTTCTATCATTTAGTGTGAATTTTAATTTATATTAAACTATTTTCATTATTTATTTTATCAGGGACAATATTCTTTCAATGTTCAGTGAACAGAAATATATTTATAATAATTTTTTAATACATGTTTTATGGGAACAATGAAGATTCTCACAAAAATGATAAAAAGACTCGAAAATTGTTTCTAGTTAAAAAATGTTTAATTTGCAATGTAGGATATAGATTACATATTGTGGACTGGAGACTTACCGCCTCACGACGTGTGGAACCAGACGCGCGAGGAAAATTTGAAAATTTTGCACGACACTGTAAACCAACTGATCGAAACGTTTCCCGGAATACCAATCTTCCCAGCTCTAGGAAACCATGAAACTTCTCCCGTTAATAGGTGCGCTCCTTTCTTTCTCGAGACTTTCTCCGAAAGTTTAACACAATTTTTGCACGGAGACACCAAAAAATGTAACAAGAAATCTTAAACACTCTCATATTTTAGTAGAAAATTTATATAAATCATTGAGACTTTTTATTTAGAAAATATCTTTTACATAACGTTTATATTAGAATTTCGATCAGCCAGTCAAATGAAATCTATAATTTATAATTGGTGGTTTTGAATAGAAATAATATTTTTCGCGAATTTAAAAATTGCTGGTTTCTTTCGTAATTTTATGTTCGTTCGTTCTAGCTTTCCACCGCCGTTTGTGCCAAAGGAAAATGATATATCCTGGTTGTACGATGCTCTTGACAAGCATTGGAGACGCTGGTTGCCAGCAGGCGTCTCGCGAACAGTTCGCAGAGGCGCCTTTTATTCGGTCCTGGTTCGTCCAGGCTTCAGAATTATCTCCATAAACATGAATTATTGCAATAACAAAAACTGGTGGCTGTTAATCAATAGCACAGACCCAGTGAGCGAGTTACAGTGGCTCATTTACGAGTTGCATGGGGCTGAAATGAGCGGTGAGAAGGTTCACATTATTGGACACATTCCGCCTGGTCACTCGGACTGTTTGAAGGTGTGGTCTCGGAATTACTATCACATCATCAATCGGTTAGTAAATTTACATCAATTTTCACGAAATCACAATCCACCTAGTATACAGGCCATTAATTATTATCGACCATTATTATCGATCCCTGGGAAAAATTGTAATGGGAGATTCTAGAGGCCAAAATAGGACGAAAATCAAGAATACTAATTTCTTAATTGAAGCTTCGTTAAGAAGATATTAACAATTGAATTCAAAACAGCCTTACAGTTTTCTGAGCGAGAACCACTGTCGTGCGTGCGCAGCTGTTCGAAGATTGTCGTTCTACAGGCGGAACTTTAAACGTTAATAACTTTTTAACGAAGCCTCGACCAACAAATTGGTATTCTTGATTTTTATCTTATTTTGGACTCTAGAATCTCCCATTAAAATTTTTTGTTTTCATAAGTGCAATGGTACAACTGAAAAATGCAAATTTTTCTTATTAAACGGAATTTTCTTTTCTTTTACTTGTATCGATTCTTTGGAACATTCTACATAAAAGAGTTTTAGAGTAAAATATTTGAAAAATTAATAGTTTGTGAGATGTAGCAATTTTAATATTTGCAAACGTAATGATCAACAAGATTCCTTCAATTAAAATTTTTTGTTTTAAACATTGTATTTTAATACTTTTTTTTGTTACACAGAATTTGAAAGTAGTAGAAAAGAGTATACAACTGCATTAAAGAAGAAAAGTGCATTTGCATTTTGAGGTGCATCGTTGCACTTCTGAGAAAAAATGAAGTTGTAGAAAAGTAGAAATTATTGTACTATTTAACTTTTTACTTTTCAGTTTCTTTCCTATCTTTCACCAAATTCGAAGTATTCAAATACACGTTACAAGTAAACAAATTCTATTTGTTCAGCTATTAATATCGTTACTAATAATGAACAAAGAATTGGTATATGTACATTGAATCTTGAACGAATACGCGTTTAATCTATTTCAGTGCTCTGTGTAGAGTTCGTTGTAAAATAATTAACATTTTATAATTGAGAAGTGAAAATGAAGAGGTTTTTAAATAGGAAAGTATTAATACGGTCGAGAAACAGTATAATAAGATTAGAAATCGGTATTTCTAAGACAGATATTAAATTTGTGAAAGACATTTTAGAATGTACAAGAATCATACAAAAGTTTACACACAAAAACTGTTTTTTGAAAATAGTTTTATTAAAATTATTAAAATTGTTCTCATACGCTGTTTTTCAGTTAATTTTATTAAACGTACAGTATTTTCAGAATTTAGTTCTGAAAATGTTTTGTGTGAAAAAAGTTTCGATAGATTTTTTTGAACGTTAAAGGACAGTTTTTAAATTTAAATATTAAAATTAAAGCCTGAATAAAATTGAGAAAAAACTACTTTAATCCCAGGTACGAATCAACGATCACGGCACAGTTTTTCGGACACACTCACTATGACGAATTCGAGCTCTTTTACGATGTTTCTAATCTTGGAAGAGCTGTTAGTATAGCTTACGTTGGGCCATCGGTCACGCCTTACAATGATCTTAATCCAGGATATAGAATATATTATGTGGATGGCGATCATCCTAAAACTACTAGAGTAAGTTGTGTCAACGTTTGCCAACTGCAACTGACAAATACAAAATAATATTTCAACATAAAATCGATAATGTCTTGCTAACTGTCGCGGCTCGATCTCAAGCCTGTGACAATTAACGAGGCGTGTTACACAACAATTTAATATACTGCACGAAATATGCGTCCATTTTATCAGTCGAAATGCTTAAATTCTTTTCAAAACTAACAAATATCACTCAAGACTACAAGAAATGGTTTCAGCTTGAATCGGACTAGAAATTTCTTAAACACACCGATTTAACGTTAGATATCACTTTATATTTTTCATACTAGAAGCTGCTTTTCAAATGCAAAATGATTCTCCAACGAATTTCGTAACAATTACACACGACACGCAAGTATAGAGGAAAGCTAATCACCGTCAGAAATTATGTTTCGCGGATTAATTAAAAATATTCTGCTTCAGTTAGTCGTGGACCACGAAAGCTGGGTTATGAACCTGAAAGAAGCGAATCTGTACGATTACCCTATCTGGCACAAAATGTATAGTGCTCGACAAGCATACCAAATGTCATCTCTCTTGCCAAAAGATTGGGACTCCCTGATAGACAAAATGAGTAACGAACAGTCGCTTTTTGATCTTTACTATAAGTAAGTAGCTTTATAAATTTCCATTTTATTCGTATCTTTAGTTCGATAGATCGTTTCGAACATTCGAGTTATGAAAAATTCTTTTATTCGATGTACAGAGTGGCCACCTCTGGGAAAAATTTTAATAGGAGATTCTAGAGGCCAAAATAAGACGAAAATGAAGAATACCAATTTGTTGATGGATGCTTCGTTAAGAAGTTATTAACGTTTAAAGTTCAAACCTCACAGTTCTCTGAGTGAGAACCACTGTCGTGCGCACGCAGCTACGCGCGGAACTTTAAACGTTAATAACTCTTTAACGAAGCCTCGATCAACAAATTGGTATTCTTGATTTTCGTCTTATTTTGGGCTCTAGAATCTCCCATTAAAATTTTTCCAAGAGGTGGTCAAACTCACTGAAGACGATTACATAATTTAATTTATTAAGTACTAATGTCTTAAAAATCTGAGATTTCTCTTAATATTTCAAAATGTTTGCAACCTCAAAATAAATTAAAATGTAGCTTTATTTGTGAATATAGCATAAATTTTTAATTCGTTGATAATTAGATCGAGACTGATAAAAAGTATCTAAAATTCTTTAATTGTGGTTTCGTTATCGGTGTATCGATGCTATTTTGATTGATATTTCAGACACTACTACAAGAATTCGCCCGTGAGACCGCAGTGCAACGACGAGTGTAAAAAAAGGTTGCTCTGCGATCTGCGTTGCGGCAGAAGCCACGCTCGCAAAGAACTATGCCAGAGCCTCGAGTCCAGAATAGATAACGAAACGAGAACAGGATGGCGAGTTTGGATTTACAACGGACTAGCATTGTCGTACGTACATGATTGGTGGCTTGAAACTTACTCTTCCAGTAACGAACGTAACATAATCGAACCGTAACTTATAGATAATTCTATCCTGCAAGTATTGCACCTTACAAACACTTCTACGCAAACTTTTAACAAGAACACCGCCGCCATCTTTGGAGCAGGCAATTCTCCCACACATTACGCTTACCACTTGCTTCATATAATTTTCAAAACCGGCAACATTTTAACGAATACTTCTTACGAGCATCTAAAATTTCATTTCAGTTCAAATATTATTTAAATTTATTATCTTATATTGTTTTAATCTGTTTTTGTAATTGTTAGAGTAAACTCGTGTACTTAATAAATATATTCACTTACTTTTTATGCACATATAAATTTCATCGATGAACCGTTGACATAATATATTAATAATGTTTAGTGCAAGTTTATAAATAAATAAAATAAATATTTTTATTTTTTATCATTCGATATTGTCCTTAAATGAATTAAGCAAAAGTAAATAATTTAATGACTAATACTTTTAATCCCTATTTGACTATCAGAGTGGTCAATTTTTAACGTGTACTTGTAATAAATATTAATAAAAAGATCAGTAATACTTTCACCGATGAAATTGATACGTGTAGAAATTTCCTAGTAAGTCTATATATTTATTATAATTTATCCTTCTATTGCAACATATTTTCAGTCACGTCGAATACGGTATTACAAATATCTTTTATGTAGAATGTTTAATTATAATTTTTTATCGATTACTATTGATATTATATAATTAATATATTAAATTGATTATAAATAATGCTGTAAAATGAAAATATATAGCTATTGTGTAATAATCCTAACAGGTGAAAGTTATTATTTTACTAACCTATTCGCAGCCATTTTTTTTTTCATTTGCTTATAAGGATTCTATGAAAATTAATTAATTACGAAACATGTTTACAGGCAATAATATTACGTACTAATGACCATTAAAATACTTAAACCTCTGTGCATTAATTTAGTTTTATTAGCCAGCTTAATTTGCTTAAATTTCTTTCATCATGCATTTCCTTTAATCGAAAGTATCAATTCTGTTTAATCTGTGCATGTAAAATGCCACTTTATATAGAATTATTATTTGTAATGTAAGATCCGTGCACTTTTATGTTTCAGGGGTAGATTCTTTCAAAACTAAAAGCACCGTAATTTTTCAGCACAAAAATCGTTTTCTAGCATTAGTACGTTGTGTTTTTGTTATATGTATTAATCCTTTTGGTACCCTTAAATATGGAATTTAAAAATAGAAAAAATTATTTTCTGTGTATCGAAAGGTTTAACATTAAAACTCCCATAAATGTAAATATTATCGATAAGGGAAGAATATTATTAAGGAGATGGATATTATTAAGAAACACCTATGTATATAAAATAGCAATACTGTAAATATTCTTTTTTAATAAAATACAAATTTTTTAATATTTGTATGTTCACTGAATCTGTTATGCTTGTGCACACATTAATACTTTTATTTTTTCAGTGGTGCAGGACTTAACACGGTTTATCTAGGTTCACAGTATGCTGGTAATATTTAATGCACATGTGTACAAAAATTATCTAATATATTGCTTAAAAAAATTAAAAATTCACATTATTAATTTAATTTCTTTACATTACACAGACTGACGAGAAAAAAAATACGAAAAATACCTTTCTGAAGTTTGTTAGTTTTTTAAAACTTTCAGTCGTTATTTTTTCAAATGGAATAATATTTTAAATTAATTTCTAAGTTATCGATTCGAGGATTATGAGTATGGATACATTTATACATATTTGGAGCAATAAATCGAAATTTAATCCTTGAACTGATAAATTAGTCGCTGAAAAGTGTTTCAAAAGTGTTTCGAGCCGTTCCAAACACAACACACAGTACATTCCCTCAACATCGTGACGATTTATTAAATTATAGAAAATAATTATTTATTTCTTTTTTACAGAATGTCCATTTTCATGGCAATTCCACGATTCGCGTACAATTTACCTAAGTATGTGCTAGGTCTAGGATAAACGAAGATATCGTTGAACAAATCGGTGTAATTCGTAACGTTAAATTATTAAACATTCAAGAAACACTGACAGTGTTGTTTCGGTGCTCAGAAGTTACAGCAACATATAATAACAATCGCGAGCATATGCAGTATAAAACAGTATGGTTGCCGGTGTGCATCTTTCGAGGTGCACGTTCAGTCGAAATTTTATTCGACTAACAAGATTTTGTACTATAGAATTTTATTCTATAGAAAGCATTTGATTGTATTTGAAATGTCTTTCTTAATTGTGATCGGTTAAATATGGTACAAAACCTCTTAGTTTGGTAAAAAAAGGTTTCTTCGCAAATATTTGTTTATTATTTACACTTTAGACACGATGCCTCACGTCCGAAAATCCAAATCCACCTGTCTGGAAGATTTTTGTACAAGTTACATTTGTACCCATTTACTTTCATTTATTTATTTCATTTGCATCGAGTTTATGCTGCAGCTACATTTGATCAAACAGAATTCAAACTTTCCAGATAAATAATAACTTTTAAAATGCGCTCATTTTATGCAAAGAATTCGAATGGTGATTTTATACAGATTGCTTTACAACAGAATTCTTGAAATAAATGTAAACTGGTGGCACAGAAATGGAGGAAAATTGCTATGATGCAGAAGATTCAATATAGTATTTTGCATAAAATTTTAAGTACATAGTACATGCTGAATTTATTTAGGTAAATGCAGTAGTTATTCTTTTTAAAATTAAAAATAAATGTAGAAAAGTTATATTTGATCGTTATTATATATAATTACTCTAATATATTTAGTGTCTCAGATGCATATACATATAAGTACTTAGCCCAGTTTGCATAGAAGCATAGCAATGTTAAGATCATGTTTGTAATTCATACGTTTCCATAGCATCTGTATTAAATAATAAAAAGTACTGTAATTGTCGATGTTATTTGTTATCTAGATCGTCGATTAATAAACAAAATATTGCTGACAGGTTTTTAAAACTTTCATAATTTAAATATGAATGATCGAGAAATGTAATTCCAAATTTAACGTTACCACGAAATAGAATTTTTTTATATATCTCCTCAGGCTGTAAATTGTAAGAATTTTATTCGAGTTAATGTTAACTTAACGTGTGATAGTGTTTTACAGCAATACACATGACAATAAGAACTGAACTTTCTGTATTAGTATTTATAAATGCGTGTTATTCGCGACACAATCATACTCATACCCCTCAGATCTCCTTCTAGATTATTCTTTCAGCTCCCAACTGTAGACACGACAGTGTAATTATGGCAGTTGCAGATGATCTTTCGAAACATAGTACTTAAAAATCATGAAATTTCTGTAACTTGATAATTTGCGTATTTTAGTTTCAGTGTTTTACGAAAGTTAATTTTACTCGACGCAAATTATTTGAAAAATCTAAAAGTTTATTTATTTTATAGTGTTTGCATGCGAATGTAACGGAACGAATCAAAATTCGTAAAATATAAATAGCTTGTACACTTAGTCATTTTCTGAATGACGAGATTTTTAAAAAATAGTATTGTAGGAATCCAAGAGATTATACGAATATATTATTTATGTTTATCTTCCCACGTGATGTATTCGACATTCCATATCACAGTTTCGATGATACGTTTATACGAATAATAGTGTATTTAACTGAAATATGAGGTGTCATGCGCTGATAAGTCGACCAAAATGTAACGAATCGTAAAATCTAAACAAATATTTTGTTATTTTGTAAGAGATACCTATAGCTCGACCATTTACAGAGTCCCTGTGACTGATTCGAGTGTGGTGGGGGGTGAGAATTGCAATTTCGTTAATTCTATACAAAATTTCGATTTATGTAAACCGTAACATCATTAATTCATATTTTTAAATATTCATCGTTTTCAAATAACGAAAAATTAATTTCTGCGAAGAGTTTCGTAGGTTCTTCGAAATTTTAACATTTAACATTTTAAAAAATCTTCGAGGAAGCTGAAATTAATTTTTCATTACCACCTTCAGATTTTTTAAATAAAAAAAGAAATTGTTTAATCTGTGGTGGTATTTGACTTGAAATAATCGATGAGAGAAAGTGCTGGACCACCTTTCTCCCATCGAAGGGGATCTTTCCTAAATTGTCGAGCTATACATATCACCTAATTAAAATGTCTAACAATAATCACCAAACGACGAATAGCAACTGTAATTAAGGTTTAAGAGCGAATGAGCAATGAGAAGAATTTTTTGATGATTCTGTTATACAGTGTCCTAGGATTAAACTACCAATATATTTTATAAATAGAAATAAAAAACGATCCTACAAACGTGGTCGAATAAATGCTTTATTAAATAAGTTATTTGATATTTATGATTTAACATTGTTGTTGTAACTCTTTAATAAAGCGATTACTTGGCTATGTTCATAGGCTTCCCTTTTATTTCTAATGATAAAAAATTTGATATTGATTATCGGTCCCCTAGTGGTGATTAGAAATGCCCAAATAATTATCAATTTTCACTAGTTGTGTCATTTAATATCACAGTTTGTTCAAACGTTTCTAAATATTCTATTTAAAGAAGAAATTTAGAAGACCTCACGATACAATTTTGATAAAAATTTGATATTGATTATCGATCCCATAATGGGGTTTAGAAATGTCCAAATAATTATCAATTTTCACCAGTTGTGTAATTTAATATCACAGTTCATTCAAACGTTTCTAAATATTCTATTTAAAGAAGAAATTTAGAAGACCTCACGACGAAGTATAAAATTGCATTTACTTTACTTTGCCCCCCCTCCCTTCCCCAGGTAATTTTTATAATTAATAATCGACGCCACGGGAAACTCGCGGGCAAGAAAGTAATCAGTTTGTATTTTACGAATAACACATAGTTACGTTTTACGTCTTTAGTTGTCTCCCGAGTTCCTCAGCGTTAAAAGTTAGATGCGTTACGAGTTCAATTGCGTTGCTTGAGTCACGGAGGATGCGAGTAATTATGTCGATCGTGTATGTGAGACTGTTGAATGATTATTATGAGAATAATATACTACTATGTTTATTGTTTTACTTTTGTACCACAATTTCTTACGTCAATACCTTATCTACAGATCTATCATTAACCCTAATTATAAATTACAAACTATCCTCACCTTGTCCCGTTTGTCATATGTTGTAGCATTTTGTTTAACTCTAATTCCCACTGTTAGGATGGAAACTTATACAAAAGAAAGTATAAAAAAAAAAGAAAAATTCAAAGAAACTTTCAGTCTCCTCGAATTTGTCCATATTTTCATACCTATTGTTGGCAATAATTAATTAAGATAAGGCCACAGACGAGATATATGACTCGTCTGTGATAAGGCAATAGTTGAAATAATGCTCGATAGCATGGGTTGTATAAATAATTGTTTTTAGTACCATTTTGCGTAGAATATTCATTTTTCAGTCAAAGGCACGGTTAACTGTTAATTGATTGGTGAACGATCGTTGGTCACAGATCTTTATTAATGGAGGGTGGTTGGTAATCGGTTAGGGTGGGTCTCCATTCGCAGTAACCTCCACGTGGTGAGACCTGGGTAATATTATTTAGCGTTTAATTAATAATCGTATCACTCTTAGCTGGGTAATGCAATTATTAATTAAAAACTGAATGATATTAGCAAATTGGCTGCGATCCGCTTTGCATAGATCATCATAAATATAGAGCTTCTTCGCTAGGTTAGTTTTAAATCTCATTGAGTCATCAAAGATTCTAGAGTATTGTCAGAGACGAGGTATACAGGTAGATCTTTCACCCAATTTTTTGGCACCAATTTTATGAGGTCTCGAAATCCCATTACCATTTTCGTGTCATTCGCAACGTTACCGACAGATTCAGAAATCTAACCCAGACCTAACCCTTCCATAGTCAACTCACATGTATTTACGCAAACAACAGCTGTTTGCCTATCAATAGTAATTCAGTGAATAGTTTCTCAACTGACCATCCACGAGAAGATAACGCTAAAATCACAGACGAGATATATGAATAGACGTTTCACGTAATGTAATTTTTCGGCCGGAGTTTCTGGGGTCCCGGGACCCCATTACCATTTTCGTGTCACTCGCTACGTTATCAACAGATTCAGAAATTAACACAACAGGAAGTGAGACAGAAAATAAAATTACATAAATTTTATTATTTTTTAACGGAATTAAAGCTGTAGGGTCCATCATTGGGCATTAATCGATTAATTTCATTGGAGAAATCAATCGATTAAGAGTATTTAAAAATTTCAAGATTATTAAAATTCATAAGGATGTATTTCATTGATACGTACACCGCAAATTCTCTATTTTTTATTTTAAATTGTAATACATCATTTATTAAAAATATAACTCGGCAGAAACGTATTTGCGACTCGAAATCAGTTTAATCAGACTGTGCATCGGGGCCCCGGAAACTCCTCATTCCTCGCTTTCGCACACTATGCTCAATTGCGTGTACGTGAGCTCGTTGAGTTTCGGAAGAGCCGATAAGAACAGGCTGATACTCGCTTTCCTTCTCGCTCTTGCATCGCTGACGTCGTTTACATTTCTCGAAAGCAAGCCTGGCATCGCCAACCGTTCGAATCGTCAGTAAACGACAAAAGCCATCGTGACCGACAGACCTTACATTTCTCGAAATCGGACCTGGGCGCTTTTTGAAGATTCATTGACTTTCCATACGAAGCGACCATGCGTTATATACATATACATGTTATACATGCTAGGAACTATAAATTGTATAACTTTCGTTGTATATCTACTTTCTAATAACATGGGAAAATTTTAAAATATAAAAAAATGTAAGAATACTGTAAAATTTTTGCAATGGAGAATTATTGAAAGAAAATGAGGTAATTATTTAGAAAAGGCCGGGTCTCACCGATTTCGATGATTTTTGAATATGTTGTAGAAATCAACATTTTGAGCAACTTTTTCCTATACATATAACCGCCGCTCGGCCTTAGTTTCCGAGATTTTTCTTCAAAAATATCGCTACTACTACAATGAATTCTGTCTATACATATGTACATATCTGTGGCTCTGTATTGCATCAGTCCACGATCGTTGCTTTTTTCTCTTGTTTGTATTAGCCGGCATGACAACCGACAACAAATAATGTATAATGTGTCGATTATAATTATAATTTTATTACTTTACATTTTTTAAATTTCTTACAAATAACGTGTATCAAACCTTGAAATGAGAACACAAAACTTAATGTAAAATTACATTGAAATTCATTTGGTTGTTTAGACTCAATCGTATTAATAGTATAAATATATGAACGCACGTCCATAAGCGTAGTAAAAAAATGTCTTTTTTAATAGTTAACCCTTTGCACTCGGCACCTTTTCGGACGTTAGCTATCAGCAACTCGACGCTACTTTCTCGCGAAAACGAAAACCCTTGAGTCGTGATATTATATGGTACAACTTTGGAACCAAGTAAGGCATTGTGTTGAAATTTGGTTTATATGTATTTATGGACATTGAAGAACACATATTTACAATACAAAATAAAAATTTATTTCTCATAATTTTCTATGGTATGGTAAATTCTGAAACAATTCCCAATATACATAGCAGGTTGATTTAT